AGAAGGGCTGGGCCCTGACTCAGGAGGTTAGAGTGACATTCCTTGCTCTGCGTCTCATTGAGTGAGCTCAGGCCTGACCCTGTGCTCATGTCCCCATCTGAGAACTGGGCATCATTAAGCTGACCTTGAGGGGTTGTCCTGGAGACCCTCGGATGGTGCTGGGACGTGCTTCAGGGACTGGAGAAGAGGGCCAGTGTCCCTGCCAGACTGAGTCCCGGCTCCAGGCTCAGGCCACCGCCCCCTCCCTCAGGGCTGCCACCTGGGGCTGGCAGATCTCAGCTGCTTCTGGGGACAAGGTCATATTGTAGGTCAACTCACGAGAGGATGTTGTTCAGGATGGAGAGAGAGGAAGTCAGTTTCCCAAGTAAGCCTCCAACCAGGCCACCGGAAGTGCCCCCTTCAGTCTTCAGGATGTCCAGAAGCGGGAGGTTTTCCAGAATGTCCAGCAGACCCCCGGAGAGCAGGCCATTGCCGAGAGCTGGAAATGATAGAAGGGCCTCTGAGGGTCACCTCTGTCATCTGTCATCTCCAGGCCCTCAGGCCCTCTCCCCTGTTCATCTGTGCACCTTCTCCTAACAGATGGGGGGTTGTTTATGCACACCTATGCACACGCGCACACACATGTACGTACACACCTGTGACAGAGGCCATCACAGACTTACCCCCTGTCAAGCTTCCAGCAAGATCCTGGGGATTTGAAGGCAGGGCTGGAGACTGATCCTCAAGCGCAATCGGGTCCACGGGCACGGGCAGGCCTGCGAGCTGGGCTGTGGCGTGGGCCAGCAGCCCACAGAAGACAACGAGGGCCCCAGTGGGAAACATCTCTTGGTGTCTGTGGACAGAATGAGTTCAACGTGGCACAAATATGAGGAGAATCTGTCCACGGCCTGCCCTATTCCCCTAGTGGGTGGGGTTCTCTTTCATCTCCTCCCTAGAGCACCCGGAGGTGATCAGCACTAATGGCTAGATTGCTGGGCGTTTTCTCTGTGCCAGGCGACAGGTTTATGACTGTACCCTGGGTGACCGATTTCATCTTCAGCATCTCCTGAGACATGGGTCCCTATCACTTGCACAGGTGAAGAAACACAGACCTAGTGACCACAGGTAACTTCCCCCAAGGTCCCCAAGGTTACAGGTTTACAATAGAGAGTGGGTTTGAAGCAGCTCTGCCTGACCTTGAAGCCTCTATTTAAGTGACCATCAGATTTTTCAGCAGCTGGGCTCACTTAAGGAGTCCCTAGTTCCACCTCCTCTGAGGAATTCCACCGACCTTTCTGCAGTGCTGGGATGGAACCCAGGGCCTCGTCCACGCTAGGAGA